ATCCAGCAGTATCTCAACATATGAGTAAGATACGTAACAAAATACAATTAAAATATTGGAGCAGCAAAAAACATCAGACGAAGATAACAGGCTATACGCAATGTATGAATAATAATGTTCGTGTGCAAAATGTGTACTATATTAGTAAATGCATATTATTATAGAATAGTAAAATAATATCTTTTATTTATCTCCATTTAACGACCATTCTTTATAACGCCGAAAAATGTTCAGTCCCCTAAGTGTCGTTATATAGAGTTTACACTGTATATGGTTTGTAGTTAAAGTATTAAAACAATCCTTCACTTAACTTATGGAGATTTGTTTTGCATTTTAATTGAAATTATAAATACAAAGCATGTTTGGCTTTGAACTACAGCTGACAGTTGCTATTGAGAAGTGCGTCAAATTCCGTTACCACTGTCATTTCCGTTGCGCGTTGCGCGCTCAACTTCCCTTCCCTATCGATATTTTACTACTTACACCGCCAAAAATAGTGCAACTTCAAAAAATGTAAGACAGACTGAAGGTTAAATAATAAATAGGTGTTGGAACCTTACCTTGTCAAAAGAATGATCTGTTTGGATTCACATGATTGTTACAGGTACTAAAATATCGAGAAAGAGTCACTTCCTGAAACTAACTCGCGTTTACGAAACACACGTTAACTGTAATGTTAGTAGGAACGTCTCTTTCACCGCATTGCACTTATTGCGTACTGCATAGTCTTCGATCGCTGCGTAATTTCCTGAAACAAAGAAGTACGTTTAAGTATGTATATTTTTACAATAAATATATAACAAATATAATAACATCCACAAAATCAGGGCATTCCTAAAAGTGAAACATATATGCCGGCCAAGTTGAGGGTTTTTTTATTTATTATAATTTACGGTAATCTTAGAGCAATTTCATTTTGGGCCATAATTCTTGGAGATGAATAGACAAATGAATTCACAGTTTTGAGTAATATTTATAAAACTCTTTATTCGCCTGAAGTACCTCCATAAAGTGGTGGTAGTTCTGGTACATTTTGGTCATAAATCAAATAGTTTATTTAATTTCGTTTTTGTCTCTTAAGATGCATATTATATGTAGTCGAAATTCGACCAATTAGGTTTTAAATCAGAGATAACAGATATAGGTTTCACGCTTATATGAATGAATTCACCTCAACTTTTAACACTTCAAAACGGTCACAAACCTGAAACTGTTACTTTCAGAATAATGGACATTCTATTTTGCTTTTTCCCTGCTTTTTATTTTAAGCGCATCTAAGGCTTAGTACCTTTTGAACGATATATTTCATTTCCCTTTTTTTATAATAACCGCGAAAAGTTCTAGGAGCTTCGACGTACCAGTATTAATACAGTGATATATACCTATATATGTATGTCTATTTTATTTGTATGTATATGAGAAGATTAGAAATGGGAAGGAATTAGAAGGAGTAGGAGAACAGAGAAGTCAATAAAAAATAGGCGAGATAGGTTGGTAGGATACCTTCTCAGGCATCAAGGGCTAATTATAGACATATTAGAAGTAGAAACAGGAGTTAAGAGAAGCAGAGGTAGACCTAGATTAGATTACCTGTTGCGTGTCCAACCACTCTGACGACTCTATGATAATGGTGATGATATCTGTATAATTTCCATGATTTAAAAGGTGGTAGAGACATAAAACAATAGCGCAAGGTCGAGTAGCTCCAACCGGTTTTTAGACTAATAGTCTTGGAATGATATATGAATTTATCAAAACCTATCACCTATCAAACCCAGGGTTTTTCTATTCTATTTTGCAACTTTTATAATTCTGGTTTTTGTTTTACAGTTTTGAATTCCTTCGTACTACTGCAAAGCAGTTTCCTATCAAACGCAAAACCGTAATTAAAATAATTGAAACTATCAAAATTTTTAAAAGTTCAGATAAGAAGTGGTTGTAATTACTTCAAATCGTTTTATTGTATGTAAATATGTTCGTAAGTTACTCTTAAAACAATTACTGCATGTTTATTATCCGTATATGTATACTACGCCACTGCACGTGGTTGCAGATACGTGGGGTGGAAGCGTTAAACCCGTTTAGGGTGTCGTCGGAAACCGGAGCATTCATATGCAAAATTCGCCGGCTTCTATGGAGTTTTAAAATTCATATGGGGCTCTTTATTAAGCCAGACTGAGGTCCATTGTCCCATACTGATTGTATTTGGACAGCAGCAACATGGCATTGTTTAACTTCAAATATTTGAAAGGTTGTATGCATAGGCAGCGAATCCTAATAGGTTTGTTATTTTATTTTCCAAATGTTTAGCTTCGAGTTGACGTAGTAGGCAGTGGGCAGTGGGTAATGACAAGATAGTGATGACAGCACCAACGCGATGAACACTACTTTTTTTTTTCGTGATTTACTCTCTCATGGGTATATGTATAGGCTGATCGAGACGGACATCTAACATTTATTAATGTCACTGAAACGACATATTGAGCACTCTGTTTACGTTTAAGTAGCGCTTAATTTTCACAGAAGGAAGTGCTCACTAAAATAACCGTTTGTTTTGTAATTAAGTAGGAGACGGTACACAGTTACAAATGTTGCATTAAATACAAACAATTGAGGAGTAGATGCCTAAAATAATGTTGATATATAATTTCAATTCTTCTCTTTCTCGAAATATTACAAAAAAAAATTGGTTATTGTTTAAAGATAGGAGTCAAAAATCATCATAAGGTCATTAGTCTTAAGACTGGTTGAACACGCATCTCCACTCCTTCCTATCCTGAGCTAATATTCGCATTTCCCTAAAACTAGAATATCCCACATCCTTAACTATTTGCGAACAGTAATCTAATCCAGGTGTACCCCTAATCCTCTTAACTTCAATTTCTGCTTCGAATATGTCTCTGATAAGGTCTTCTTGTCTAAGAAGGTGTCCTACCAACCTATCTCGCCTATTTATTATTGACTTCCATAGTCCTCTGTTCTCCTATTCTTTCTACCTACCTCTTCATTTCTAATCCTTGGAATCCTCATCTTTCGCCGGTAACACCACATTTCCAACGCTTCTTACCTTTTCATTTCCACCGCGTCCACAGTCCATGTTTCGCACCCGTACAGCGCCGCACTTAACAATCTTTCGATTTTCTAAATTAATCGTTCGCAAGAATAGAAGTTACTTCTTTTTATGAAGGCGACTCGACCCTGCGCTATCCACTGCCTACTATTCCCCTATCCCTACTACTCTTTCCATCCTGACTTATTTGATTTCCTAGATACCTAAAATCATCCACTTCTTCTAATCTTTCATCTCCTATCTTTATATTTGCTCTTTCCCAATTTTTTCTTCCCTTGCATACCAGTATTTTTGTTTAACTTTTATTAATTTTCATACAATACTGTTTTGTCAATACCGCTTCCACTTTATTTAAAGCTATCTCTAACCCCTCCTTGCCAAATGCTAATATTGCTATATCATCCGCAAATCTAAGCATATTAATCTTTTGCCCCTCTATATCTATCCCTAGAGTTGTAATGACAAATTTAAGTGAAATAATTTCGTACTTCTTGAATTCAGCAGCATGAGTATATTATTTTTATATTCAAATTTCTTTTAATGATTGTATAATCGTAGCGTGACTAGGAAAACGTCGACTAAACAACAATTCCAAGGTGTACGCTTTGATTTCTTGTAAATTCGTGTTAACAACGCAACAAACAAACGTGTTTATTGCAAAATTTGTTTTGGAAAAATATGCAATAACTTTTTTTCGCATACAGTAGCTTCTTCAAGTGGAGGATTACTGTACGAAAGTATTTTTTTTTAATGTTTTTCAGAATCAAATTCTTGATGCATCAACTCAAGGATTAAACCTTGTACAGCCATAAAAATCTTACTTTGTAAACTATCAGTAATGTATAGCCTTTCTATTCGTATTTGGTCTAGAAATTCACATATTAACAGCATCTAAGCCAAATCCTGCTAAATTATTTTCCATAAATACATAAGTATATTACATCTATAATGATAAACAACGAATAGTTGTGGCAAAATACTACTGTCCATCTTTGTTAATAGAACTTTACTTATACCTATATTGAAATGAAGAAAAACATTTCTGCAAATTCGAAATAAACTATAATTCTTATTAATTCAGTTTCGGTTTACTGTTTAGTGTTTGTACAGTTAGTTCCATCAACCGGTTTGGATTTCATTAATTTATTAATAACAAAACAATCCTGTAAATGACACTATAAAACAAATTATCGACGTTCTTCTAATTATTGCCTAACCGAAGTGAATATTAATTCAAGTGCTAATTCCTTATTTATATGTTGTAAAATATAATTTATAGAGGATGTTACTCTGTAAATATAAAAAACAAACGTTACCGAAGCCGAAGATAATTGATTTAGTATATAAAGGAAGCAATGAAACATCAGACTACATGATAGTGCTAATTATACGAACACGTTTCGTCATTGTTATGCGGGACGCTATTTCAAGAATATCAAAAATATAATAGAGGTAGAGACAATTTTTCGAAAAAGTACGAATCATCATTTTTTTTTATTTGTAGAAGACGCCTATTTTATATTTTCATAAGTAACGTTACATAACCATATTCAATTGAGTTTTACCTAGTTCAGAAGTAGTGTTTGCCTAAATCCCAAGTGCGTTTATCAAATTAAAAGTCTGGGTAATTCTATGTTCGTTAAAAAAACGAAATGTGTGCTGGGACACATAGTAGAAGTGAAACTTCAACGGACAAGTGGAAAAACGAACAAATGGAAAAACTAATGAGAACGAATCGCAACAAAATTTTTACTTCAAGCTTTAGTTTCAGGTTGTTAATGTACAACAAAATAGATATTCATGAATAAATTTTTGAAAAAAACACAAAATTCACGATGCTTTTTGAACAGATCTCCTAGTACAATTTACTTGTTTCGATATGCACTTTGACGGCAGACTGGTCATTTTTCAGAAATTTGACATTAAAAATTGTAAGGTAAGTGCCTTAAACAAACGCACTGTACCACCGGCAAACTTCCCCTCTTTCCATCCCCAAAGAGAAAAAAAATGCATTTGCAAATTTATATGTATTAGGTGGACAACAAAAAAAGTTACAACGTGTATACACATATGTAGTGAATACTTTAATTTTTCCCTATTTTGGTATTAGATGCACTTTATATTTTATGGATTCCATGGTTACGTCGCATAGTAGGTACATATTAATACTTCTGGCTCGTTTTTTTCGATATTTATATTTATACCATAAAAAAAGAATATGAAACTTGTACATAATTCGAAAGGTACCATAGCATGTACGTTAGATCGCCACAAAATAGGAATCGTTTGTGTACATTGTTATTTAAGTGGGTAAAAAGAACAAAAAAATGATTATTGGAACAATTTCATATGTGTGATCGTTTTAAAATGTCAAAAATTGGGTTTAACTCATTCGTATAAGTGTAAACTGTGGATTATTTGATTTGAAAGAAAATTTCCACCATGTACGACAAACTAGTTTATATTAATACATCGTTGAAATATTATAAACTACAGTAGATTTCATTTGTTACGACCTTTGAATTTAAAGCACACTTTAGTACAAAATTCATGTGGCTATAACGACTTCGGATGTAACGCCGAGTGTAGGGACTGTTTTTAATGAATTATTTGTAACAAATCCCTAGTAATCCCATGCAGATTTGGCGAGTCGGCCGCCAAAG